CACTTTCACATTGTTCTATTTGCCTGATGAATCTTTCCATTAAGATTCATTGTTCATACTCTTGTATTGCTTCAAAATCTTTTCTATCTAAGTTTAGTACTTGATTAGTTGCATACCCATATTCTTCTTTTAGATCTTTTACTAGATCTCTATTCTTCCAGAGAATAGCATCTTTTGTTTCTGTTAATGCGGATATTGTTTTGTATAGGTAAGCTTTTTTGTCTTCAGCTATTTCTGCTTCTAATATTTTTCTGTTTGTAACTCTTTCAATTTCTTGAATATGTTTATTAGTTTGTTGTCTTGATAATTAGGAAACATATTTATAATTTGTTTCTATACTGTTTAATCGTTATTTTAGCTGTCTTAATCCTGTTCTAATTCTTGGATCTTCTTGTTCCTTTTCTTGTTGTAGGATTCGATTTAATTGTGATAATTGTGTTTTAATAAATATTCCCATTTTGGTGTTTTGACTTTGCTTCCTTCTTGTTGATTACAGATGATATTTAAGCTTTTAGCTTTTTCTTTCTTGTCTTTTTTAGTATTATCTTTTCCTATTACTTGTTCTCTAAATTGATTTATTTCTCTTTGTGCAGCTTCTAGATAGAGTTGATTTAGTTTCTTTTCTTGTTTATTTTGTGGTTCTTCATGTTTCGCTACAACTGTCATTCGTTGTACTTGTTCTGTGAGTAATATTACTTCTGGATTATCAAATTCTATTCCCAATGGAATTGTTATTCCCGATGATGTTCCTCCTGTATATTGGTTTTTGTGTTCTTTTAATTCTTGGTCTTTTTCTTTAGACTATTCTTTCTGAAGTATTTCTTCTTGAAATGTATCTCCTGCCTATTTTTTTAGCTTAGAGATTTCATGTATTTGTGCTATTTGATTAGCTATTTCATTTGACGGTGTCTCTACTACCGCAGTATAGACCTCTTTATACTGTATAATCATTTGATATACTTCTTGTTGTATACTTGCTTGTGGATCTAATAGGTGCTCGTGTTTGTCCATTCCTTTGCCGAATATCAATTCCGGCGGGCTGTTGTTCATATGTACTAACATGATTTCTTGTCCGTATATTCTTAGTACATTTCGATATTCATCGATTCTCTTGCCTTGCCCTGCAGCATACCAGTACTGCATATCGAAGCATATGCCTATTTGCTTCTTTAGTCTTGCCTT